TTGATCCCTAATGATGTTCACAAAGCCGGATTAGTCGAACAATACATTTCTTATGAATCATTTTACTATGACCCACCGGTTTCAACAATCGTATTTGAAGAAGTGTTTGCTAAAAAATATGTGGGTAACGAACCAAACGCTGAAGCTATTAAGCAATCTCGTGAAGATCTTTCTAAAGTTTTAGATGTTTATGAGAAACTTTTGGAAGGAAAAGAATATTTGACTGGAGAATTTTCTTTAGTTGATATCTTTCACTGTCCTGGTACTAATTTAGCCTGCGGTACTGTCACACATGCCGACTTATGGGATAAAAGGCCTAATGTTAAAAATTGGTGGAATAGGTTGTGTAATAGGGAGGCCATTAAAAAATCTTTTGAAGAAATCGAAAGTTAATTTATGATTTTTTGGAATATCAATTTATAGTTTTTTTATCTATATTTAGCACTTACGCTCTTCTTTTGCTTTATAAATTTATCAAAATCTGTTAAAATTGGGAAAAATAGGTCCATATTAATGAATTCTTTTTGTCAGAAGTTTATACAATAATGTATAACATTTTCTTTTGTGAAATTATTCAACTTATTGCACACATTAATATGATAATATAAAAAGCTTGTTTACATGTGATGTTTTTTATGACTTTGATGCCCTCTTCACCAACAGTCATTTACCAAAAGTTCATTTAGCCAATATCACATAGGGTTAGGATTAACATTTGATTAGTTGTACGTAGGGATTGCTAACGTTTCAATCGACCCTATTCATTAATCAGTTTTCATAATAATAAATATACAAGCCGTATCTATCAAGTCGTTAGTACGTACGTAGGTGTATATTTTTATTAAATCAATATGTGGCGTGATGTCGCTAAATGAGCTGTCAGTGAAATAAGACGGATCCAATTTTTTTAATAATTGGATGTGAATAAAAATTAATAAAAATAAAATCCAATTTCCACTAAAATTTTACGGAAAATTTTGTTATAATTGGTCACCAATGGTAATAAATCGTAAACTTCTATTTGTATGCATATAAAATATCAAGTTTTTAGTTCAATTAGTATTAATAATAGGATTGATAAATTTGTAACTGCGGTTACTGTAGCCACATCCTATAAGCCAATCAAATTTCAAAATTTTAACTATGAAACCATCATTTATGATTTAACAAAAAAAATTCCTTGCAAAATTTTGGTATAAGCCATGCCCTTTCCCAATCCGGCTTTACTCTAACCCTAAAATTAATCGCAGGATCTTATTTTTATAAAAAAGGTTTGTTTTGATAGTCACGTTATACCTGATCTTAGTTACGATTACAAAATTTTTATCGTTATTATTATTTATAGCCGCGGTTACAAATTCATTAATTCTTAATAATATAGTTGCGCACTAGATACCAGAAATGAGATACAAATTCAAATTAGTGTTTTGTAAGTTTTTATTGATTATATATTAGAAATTTTAGAATATATTTTCATTCAACATGGCTTAGTATTTCTTTGCTAAAGCATTCACCAGAGGAGTTTTGCCTTTCACCAGGATGTTTTATCATTTATCCTTCATCAGTTTTAGGTTTCATTTTGTATTATATGTGTCAAATAGTTTTACCTAACTGTAGGTTTGATATAAAATACAAAAAAGAATATTTACACAGTACCATAATGCACTGACCAAAGTACAGTACCCTTTTTTGCGTACCCTCACTCAAAATACTCGGGTATTTATATTGCATATTTTTTTAACCGAGGATAATCCCTTGCATAGCATTTTTCATATTACCGCATATTGATTTCTGCATTACATATATAAGACCGTATAATGTACCCCATACAAGATACCTGTCACCAATTAAGTTACTTATAGGTATTTTATAAGTTTTTTTTGTTAGATTGTATTAGGATACTTTGGTCAGTGCACTATGGTGATGATGGAAGTTTTTACATGTTTTTTGAAAAAAAATTTAGTAAGCTTACATGATAGGCTAAATTAAAATTACTGAATAATTTTTTAACAGTTAATAGAATCTTTATGGTGCAGAATGCATTTATTTTATCCCTTAAACCATTTGAAATTTAGAACAAATTTGGGCTAAATTTTATTATAAAATACTTCTGATCTATTTTTTAAAAAATTAATATTTTTAAATAAAATTTTTTTGATAAGGTCACATAAATTTAATATCTTGGTTTTTATAACATGAAACTTTTAAACAAACCTGGTTAGTTGTTTTTTTTTTTAAATTTTATATACATAAATTTTATAAGGATTTTGTAAAATACCACCATGGTGATGTATTGCTACCCCTAATCAACCAATTAGAATGCAGAATTAGGTGTAACATGAAATCGAAGCGATTATGATTTTTTTTCAAAAATTGCCTATAACACGACATTTTGCCTATGAAACTATCTCTTGCACTCTAACAAAAAAAATTCTTTACAATATTTTGGGTTAGAAACTCTTTGCTAAAACATGCTACCCTAACTCCAACCAACTCTCACCCTAACTCTAAATTAACGAATTGATTTATTGTTTTGATTTCACATTACACCAGATCTTATATAGTATGCAATCATCGCTATGGCATTATTTTACTTAATTTATTTTATAAAACTTTTTTAAAAATTTTTTAAAAACCTACCCAGTTAGATCATACAAACTTAACAAATTAGTTCTCATACTATAAAATTTTTAAAAGTGACCTGACAACATTAGCAAAATTTTAAAGGTGCTATATATTGATAGTAATTTTCCAGATTACAATCAATATACAACCCCCTGTCAGGTTTTATTATTAGTGATTACTAACGATATATAACAAAAATTTGTTAAATTTTTTTAAAGTTTAATATTAATTTTCTCAATAACTATCAATTCGTTAATTTAGAGTTAGGGTGAGAGTTGGTTGGAGTTAGGGTAGCATGTTTTAGCAAAGAGTTTCTAACCCAAAATATTGTAAAGAATTTTTTTTGTTAGAGTGCAAGAGATAGTTTCATAGGCAAAATGTCGTGTTATAGGCAATTTTTGAAAAAAAATCATAATCGCTTCGATTTCATGTTACACCTAATTCTGCATTCTAATTGGTTGATTAGGGGTAGCAATACATCACCATGGTGGTATTTTACAAAATCCTTATAAAATTTATGTATATAAAATTTAAAAAAAAAAACAACTAACCAGGTTTGTTTAAAAGTTTCATGTTATAAAAACCAAGATATTAAATTTATGTGACCTTATCAAAAAAATTTTATTTAAAAATATTAATTTTTTAAAAAATAGATCAGAAGTATTTTATAATAAAATTTAGCCCAAATTTGTTCTAAATTTCAAATGGTTTAAGGGATAAAATAAATGCATTCTGCACCATAAAGATTCTATTAACTGTTAAAAAATTATTCAGTAATTTTAATTTAGCCTATCATGTAAGCTTACTAAATTTTTTTTCAAAAAACATGTAAAAACTTCCATCATCACCATAGTGCACTGACCAAAGTATCCTAATACAATCTAACAAAAAAAACTTATAAAATACCTATAAGTAACTTAATTGGTGACAGGTATCTTGTATGGGGTACATTATACGGTCTTATATATGTAATGCAGAAATCAATATGCGGTAATATGAAAAATGCTATGCAAGGGATTATCCTCGGTTAAAAAAATATGCAATATAAATACCCGAGTATTTTGAGTGAGGGTACGCAAAAAAGGGTACTGTACTTTGGTCAGTGCATTATGGTACTGTGTAAATATTCTTTTTTGTATTTTATATCAAACCTACAGTTAGGTAAAACTATTTGACACATATAATACAAAATGAAACCTAAAACTGATGAAGGATAAATGATAAAACATCCTGGTGAAAGGCAAAACTCCTCTGGTGAATGCTTTAGCAAAGAAATACTAAGCCATGTTGAATGAAAATATATTCTAAAATTTCTAATATATAATCAATAAAAACTTACAAAACACTAATTTGAATTTGTATCTCATTTCTGGTATCTAGTGCGCAACTATATTATTAAGAATTAATGAATTTGTAACCGCGGCTATAAATAATAATAACGATAAAAATTTTGTAATCGTAACTAAGATCAGGTATAACGTGACTATCAAAACAAACCTTTTTTATAAAAATAAGATCCTGCGATTAATTTTAGGGTTAGAGTAAAGCCGGATTGGGAAAGGGCATGGCTTATACCAAAATTTTGCAAGGAATTTTTTTTGTTAAATCATAAATGATGGTTTCATAGTTAAAATTTTGAAATTTGATTGGCTTATAGGATGTGGCTACAGTAACCGCAGTTACAAATTTATCAATCCTATTATTAATACTAATTGAACTAAAAACTTGATATTTTATATGCATACAAATAGAAGTTTACGATTTATTACCATTGGTGACCAATTATAACAAAATTTTCCGTAAAATTTTAGTGGAAATTGGATTTTATTTTTATTAATTTTTATTCACATCCAATTATTAAAAAAATTGGATCCGTCTTATTTCACTGACAGCTCATTTAGCGACATCACGCCACATATTGATTTAATAAAAATATACACCTACGTACGTACTAACGACTTGATAGATACGGCTTGTATATTTATTATTATGAAAACTGATTAATGAATAGGGTCGATTGAAACGTTAGCAATCCCTACGTACAACTAATCAAATGTTAATCCTAACCCTATGTGATATTGGCTAAATGAACTTTTGGTAAATGACTGTTGGTGAAGAGGGCATCAAAGTCATAAAAAACATCACATGTAAACAAGCTTTTTATATTATCATATTAATGTGTGCAATAAGTTGAATAATTTCACAAAAGAAAATGTTATACATTATTGTATAAACTTCTGACAAAAAGAATTCATTAATATGGACCTATTTTTCCCAATTTTAACAGATTTTGATAAATTTATAAAGCAAAAGAAGAGCGTAAGTGCTAAATATAGATAAAAAAACTATAAATTGATATTCCAAAAAATCATAAATTAACTTTCGATTTCTTCAAAAGATTTTTTAATGGCCTCCCTATTACACAACCTATTCCACCAATTTTTAACATTAGGCCTTTTATCCCATAAGTCGGCATGTGTGACAGTACCGCAGGCTAAATTAGTACCAGGACAGTGAAAGATATCAACTAAAGAAAATTCTCCAGTCAAATATTCTTTTCCTTCCAAAAGTTTCTCATAAACATCTAAAACTTTAGAAAGATCTTCACGAGATTGCTTAATAGCTTCAGCGTTTGGTTCGTTACCCACATATTTTTTAGCAAACACTTCTTCAAATACGATTGTTGAAACCGGTGGGTCATAGTAAAATGATTCATAAGAAATGTATTGTTCGACTAATCCGGCTTTGTGAACATCATTAGGGATCAAGATGGTATTATTATATTTGCCTTGGTATTTAGATGTTAGGTAACGGCAAATTGCACGAGATTCGGTAATTCTAAAATCATCATCAAAAAGCACTGGAATTCTTCCACTGTTATAACTTGTTAGTAATTCAATTATTATATATATAAAACATCTAGAACATTTAGATGATACTTACAATGGATGCTTATTCGCGATATAATCATCATCTTTTATAGATTGAAAACTAGGTGGAGGGTCGAGTTCGTAAGGAACAGCTAATTCCTTAAGGCATATAATAACTCTAAGAGTAGCAGTTGAGATAGGAAATCCAACGAGTTTGATAGTCATGTTTTAATACAAACGATGATTTGAAGATAGATTATCTCAAAAATGAGAAAGATGAAATGAACGTGTATTTAAGCAGTTTTGTGTATTCACTTATACCTAAATGAGGCTTGGCCTCGATTTTTGATTATTCAATATATTTTTTTTTCCTAAAGTTTTTCTATTCGGTTAGTAATCACTACTAACTTCATCTGGTGTAAACATATGTACATACGTACGTACGCAGAATCACATGGAAAATTAATACGACAGGGTAAAACCCGCTTCAGTGATGTTATGTTATTGATGTTATATTGATGCACATTACTACTTGACTCTGAATAAATATAGATCTGCATCAAAATGGTAACTTAAAAAACGCGAATTTCGCCTTTTTCATATTTACATTGGTAATAAAAATT